AATCCAAGTAAATAAGTGATCTTGAGTTTAGCCCCTTGTTCTCCTACCTGAACAAAATCTCTTAAATTCCTTTAAATTTTATTGACAGAATGCATATATCTATCACTATTAAGGACAGTATTTCATTTTAATATAATTTTCTAAAAACTTGTGTTCACAGGAAGCTGAGAACAACTAAAAAAGGTCTGCTTTCTCCCTAAAAATGAGGAGGGCAGTTCATGAGATTTGGTCCATCAGTTTCACGTCATATTTTTCCTATTCGATTACTGAAATATCATTGACACCCAAACCACATGTTAGATATAAGCCAACACAGCTACAAATGTGCAGCTACTTTGGCCTCACATGCTAATAATCTGCACTTTTTAAACAGCCTTGCAAAACTAGAGCATATTTCACAAGCTCAGGCATTAAATTTTCCCTTCCCATTTTATCATAATGATATACGAGAATATTTAGCAGGGTTTTATTTGCTGTGGGAAAGGGAGGCAGCATTTTCTAGGTCATTTTAAGAATATCTTTAACTTTAGCCAGTGAGGAATCATGGGTAAAAAAGGCATAGTGGTGACAACCGAGTTGATGTTAATCATAATCCCCGTGTAGGTGTCTTTATGAAAAAGTGTGTGACAGATGATAAATGCAGCAGCTTTTATCTACATCCCATTAAATGCTTAAACTGCAATAAAGGATCAAGCCAATTTTTTTTCTATTTCCCCATGATAAGATCCGAATAAAAGCAAGTTCTGCAGAAGCAAAACTCTCTGGTCAAAGTGTACAAGGTATTTTAAATTGTGGGAAATGTAATTTTAAACAGAAATTGAGGAAATGAAGGCCTTTTGATGTGGCTGGACATGGGTTGATTTATCAGACTTTTCTAAAAGACACTAGAGAAAATAGCATCATCAGTGAGGTAACAAAACTGCCTCAGTAAATAAGGAATTATATTTACAAATAAATAAATGCATATTAATTAAGATGAAAAATGAAAAATTCCAGGTTTATGTATTAATTGCAATGATTAAAGAAAGTGTTTAAAACAGTTCTAACATTTTGTACTATTAACATAGGGGGTTTTGCCTGTAGATGGTGCCGTAGGGCAGCAAAGTTGTTAAGCTTTTCTAAAGATTAAATTGGGTTTGAAAGCTAGTTATTACCAGATGTTAACAGTTTAGAAACACTTCTCCAGTATAAAATTTGTAGCAAGATTTTCACCCAACACAAAAATGTCAAGGAAAGCCCAGAAAATAAAGAAAATGCCATTTGGTTATATAATGGGTTTGGTTTCTTTTAATTAACGTGCTTTTCATTTCTATCATATAGAAGTGGCAGTGTACTTATTCAAACAGGCTTTGAGCACCAAAACAAAAAAAAAAAATACTATTGCCATGGTTAAAATGGGCAATGTCCTGACTCCTCTGCATAGGTAGGAAATGGACTTTCAGGACCTTAGTCTGTCTTGTGCTTGAGGGACTGACTAAACCAATGGTGCTACGTACAAGAGAACTACATATTATTTTCTTTTCTGTGTTAACTACCTTGATCCTGAGTAACATGATATCACGGATAAGCCTATAATTCACTAGCTCCACATGAAACATGTTATTATGAAGGAAGCTGCACACTGATATAGGTAAATTAAAAATAAAAAATAAAGAGGCAAACAGCAATGTTAGTATTTGCACTGTCCCCCCCAGCAGTGCTGTGACTACTCTTTGTATACTCTAAAATCAGCTGCTGGTGAGAAAAACACTTGTGCAAAATTTCTTCTTGAATTCAGTATTTTCCTCTATTTAAATGAGCAGGTTGAATGGACAATGGATTCTTGGGAGTTTTTGGCTAGAATTAATGGATGAAGTTCAGGTGCAAGCCTGCATCCAACTTGGGAGTGCAAACGCTGAGGGAAGGGAAGGGTATGGCCAGCCCCAGTTGAGTCAGGCTTGTAACATGGTGAAATTCTGATGCGCTGTCATGACAGTAGGTGATTTGCTGACAAAAAATCATCAGCTGGTACACAGGCAACACCATAAGTTCATTTTTGCTGCGTTCTTCTCAGCCCCTCTGCAATTGTTCACTCTTGCTTTTATTTATTTATTTGTAAATGTAATTCCTTATTTACTGAGGCAGTTTTGCTACCTCACTGGAATTGCTATTTTCTCTAGTATCTTTTACAATAGTCTGATAAATCAGCCTATGTCCAGCTAAGACAAAAGACCTTCACTTCCTCAAACTGAGATGGTGAGGCCAAGTAGCCAGGCTGTCTAATGATTTTAGGGGAAAACAGATGCAAAAACACAGGTTCCATGGACAAAGCAAGATTCGGAAGGAGGAAAACAGAAAAGGCCCTAGAAAATCCCATCCCTCTCAAAAGGAGCCCAAGGAGCCACAAATGCCACACCAAGGAACTTTTTCAGAGATGTAAGGAAAAAGGACAGGACAGGGTCTGTTACCCAAGAGCCCCTTCCCTATTAAGCTTTGTGGTGTTATGGATAACCACACTGGTAGTGGCAAGAAGGGGCTGATGAAGGATTGACTTTGTGGGCCTGCAGGCAATGTGTGTACAAGGTGGACAAAACCTCATGAGAGCAGAGGCAGAGCTCCAAAAGAGAGCATGACATGGAGCTCTGCCAGGGTGAACACACTCTGAGATGAGAGCTGAGAACTCCATTTTGGTTTTAACACCAACTCTGCATCCCCCTCTGTATAACTTTGGCCAGGAGGGCTTACAACTCAAGACCAGATTTCACCAGGTTTTGGTGGGAACAAATCCTGATGATCCTAATGGGAGTGAGTCCACTATATTTGTTGCCTGAAGTCAACTCATTATAAATGCTAAATCAATGTTTGCCACTTGTCTCTGATGAGTTTACTCCCCAGCTTATTTCTCCCTGCAGTGGTATTAAGTGGGACAACTCCACGGAAGTCAGTAGCATTTTTCTGCTATGAAGCCAGTGTGAAATCATAATCAGAGTTTCAGACCTGTAACTTGAATAGGATTTTGCTTCATCCTTAAATTTTTCCTTCATGTCTTTCTCTTACGTAAATAAGCTTTAATAATTTGACTATCAAATGACCATCAAATAAACTATGTAATTATCAAAATTTTTAAAGGCTCTTGAGATCTTGCAGGGGGAGATTCTCTGTAACAACAAAGTAATTTACGGAACCACTGAATCACAAAGTGGCTGAGGTTGGCAGGGACCTTTCAAGATCATGTAGTCCAACCTCTGTTCAAGCAGAGTCAGCCAGGGCAGGTTGCCCAGGACAACATCCAGTCAGGTTCTGAATGTGTCCAAGAACAGAGACTCCACAACCTCTCTGGGCAACCTCTCCCAGTTTTCTACCACCCTCACAGGAAAAAAGAGCGTTTTCTGATGTTCAGGTAGAATTTCATATGTTTCAGTTTGTGACCATTGCTCTCGTTCTCCCAGTGGGCACCAGCGAGGAGAGGCTGCTTCCACATATAAATCTATGTAGCAGCAACAGAATACCTGTTACATCCTGTAAAATGGCTTAACATTTCCACTGAGATAATCTCTCTTTTACAGTATGTAGGACTGTACTTTTGTAATGTACAGAAATATCAGTTCACAGTGGACAGCATACAACAGGTCTTGACCATTTAAATAAAATCTACAGACCTTTTCTGTGGCAGTTAAGCCCTATAGTAAACCAAACTGGATCTGAGCATGGGCCTGGCCATAAGCTCTACCATGCAATGGTTCATACTCCTGAATTAGAATCACACTCCCTTGAACAACCCAGACAGCTACCACTCCTCCAGGTAGTCTGAGGACAGTTCAGGGAACAGCATCAGACTGTTTCCAATATGCAGTATGAGCGAAATCCCTTGAAGTTCACATATGGTATCTAAATGGCTACGTGAGCCCTTGCAGGGACAGATTGGTGTGGTCCGTTTTATTTATCAGCACAGACAGACCCTAAGCACATTTCATAAGCCAATGAAGGTCAGAGTTTCATTTAATTAGACACTGCTGTGATTACTTATAATTATAATTTGAAACCTGCTGAAATCAAATGGAAATGGATAATGTCACTTACTCCTAAGTAAACTGTACTTTGAATGAGAAGTTGTTCTACTGAATTCAGCATGGGCCTGGGATTCGGCTTATAATTAATGACTATGATTATTATTACTCTAAGACCTTTGAATTCAGTGAAAATACTTCTGGCATATGAGTTTCTTCATTAACAAGTGCTCTTCATGCACGTAGTTGAAGTCTGCTTGGCACAGCTATGAAAGGCAGGGGTATCAGCTCCACTCCTCCCATTTCTAGTGGCTATCAATGCCAGCAAAAGCCTTAGTGCAGATGCTGTAATAGGAGTGATAGTTCACTGAAACATCCTTATCTGTGCAACCCAAGGAAATCTGTTTGTGTTTACAGGGTTTGCTGAGTTAGGTTTCTTGATCCATCCACTGGGAAATGCTATTCAGTGTGGAAAAGGCCCAAACTCAAACAATAATACAAGTGATTTACATTTCTCATAAGAAAAACAAAGCTCTTTCCTCAAATGTACTGCTTCTCCTTAACAGTGAAAGATCTTCATCACATGTGGCCTGCAACATGTTGTTCTTTCCAGATATGGGATTTTGCTGGGAAGTTGTGACACCCAATTTGTGGGAACACTTGCCATCTGAGCAATGCTTTCACTACTGCTCACCACGCTCCTTAAACAGGCATGCTAATTATGTTACAGGCTGTCTGCATTACAGGCTAAGCTCTACGAGGCTACAGTATTTTCCTAGGAACCACAGCAAGGAAGTCAGCATGAGCCTTCAGCCTTCAGTTGTGTTAGATGTGCATCTGCTGTGACCAGAGTTTCTGTTGACAATGACAACCTCATTAAGCATTCACCCTAGAGGTGTTTCTGGTGCTCAGAAGTGCTCATATTTTAAGGTTATCACTGAATGCTTTTTTCAGTACCAAGCAGTTAGTGAGGAAGTGTTCTTATTTAAATTAAAAGAAAACTAAGCATTGATAAGAGGTATTTTTAATGCCATATACAATTAACCTGGTACACCACAAATAGCTGGCCTCCAGCTGGACTTTGTGTCACTGATCACAACCCTTTGAGCCCAGAAGTTCAGTCAGTTTTCAGTCCATTTCCTTGTCCTTTTAGCTAGTCCACAAAACTTCATCGGTTTGCCTACAAAAATGTTATTGAGAGTCTGTCAAAAGCCTTGCCAAAGTCAAAATAAACAACATGCATCACTCTCTCCTCATCTTAGTTATTTCATCTTAGGAGGTAATCAGGTGAGCTGATTTTATCTTCATAAACTCCTGACAACTACTTTCAGTCACCTTCTTGTCCTTCATCCATTTGGAAATGCTTTACAGGATTATTCGCTCCATGACCTTCCCAGGCATTGAAGTGAAACTGATAGGCCCAGATCCTCCCTCCTTCTTGCTCTTCTCAAAGACAGGACTGGTAATTGCTTTTCCGAGTTCTCAGGAACTTCCCCTCTCCCAACTTGATCCTGCCTTACTGAGGGTAAGTCTTTGCTGCTCTTCACTTTCTGATGGGTCTCAGGGGCCTGGAAATCCTGTGGCAAATCTTACCAGGGAAGACCAAGGCAAAGAAGCCAATGAGTACCTCAGCCTCTTCCATGTCCTTTGTTAGCAGGTCCCATTTGTGAACTAATTTATATTATGAAATACAGCAGTATTTACAATTACAATAAGAGGATGAAAACCACAAGGTCAACGATAACTCTTAGCTAATAATAGGCTTGAGACACAGTAATAGCTATTTGCATTATAATGATCACTTTTCCCTCTTCTCAAAAACACCTGGTTTTGGAAACCTACAAAGCTACACTGGCTGAGCATGCCTCCTCTGAGTGCATTGTTCCACCTGCTTTTAAGTATAAACATAAAACAATGAAATAGAGAAAAGAAGAATTCTGAAGGAAAGTAACAAATAATTTACATATGCTAATTTTGAAATCAGTGATGGCTCATTTGCACTTGAAGGGTAAATACTGAAACTGCATACCGCCTGTCTGAACAGCTTTTCCTCCCATTGCACGAAGACATAATATGGGATCACTGCAGGTATAAAGAAGAATAGCAAAGATACATAAGAGGTGATCTTCGTTTCTGGCTATGATATTAATATGATTATTGATCATGTCCCTTCTGGTGTCCATGCTTCAGAAAGGACATTGAAAAAGACAGAGGTGGCTCAGTAAAAAAACATTATTTTAATTAGAGAAAACATATCTTGAAGTAACAAACTGGACAATTTCGAACTTTGTAAACTTTTAAAGAACAGTCAAGCTGATCAGAGGCCCCTGACTAGTCTGTTGGTATGTGTACGTGGGGAAATACTGGTTACTAGCAGATACTTTAAACTGCAGAAAAATAGCACTGTGAGAAGAAACTAAAAAGACTGGAAACGATAAACAGCTTCAGGCATGGATTTTCCGGGGCTTACACGTATCACTGCTAGCCTCAATCTCCTACTTTTCACAACAGTGTTGACCTTTTGAACCCACAGTGCAGCGCAGTGGCTTCTTTCTTCTCAGCATCACATGCCTGCCACGAGGGCAAAGAGAAGACATGGTGCCAAGCACAGACAGAAGACATTTGTTTTTTTCCATTCTGAATCCTCTGCTACAGACATGCCACTTTCACAGGACCCATTCTCATCCGTACTCTTAGTATTTAACAGTAAATGGTGGCACATGCATCTGTCTGTGTGAAGAATATATTTTAGTAGTTCTGTTATATTGTTAAAGCCAATGGATAAAACATTAGGTGAATGGCCTCATGCAGATGAGACTAATTATAAAGTGTCCTGTTTCGCCTGAATATTTTTGTGGGAAATACAATGGCAAGGCTCTCCTGGAACATCATCTGGAGTTCCAAAGCCTCAAGGCTTCCTGGAAACAAGATTCCAGGCCTCTCAAACCGGACATTCAAAACTACAAGCACTCAAACACCCTGCCTCCTGTGTAAAGCTCTGGGCTCATGCTTGGTCATACCGGATTATCTTTTACACAGGAGGTGTAAAAGAGCTCTGTGGGAGACAGGGTGTTGACCAGACGTGTGCAACTTTCAGATAAAGAGAGCACTAACTGATCCTGCAATGTGTCTGAGGAAGGGGAGCCAATCATTATCCTCCCACGCTTCAGTTTCCAGTCATTAACAAGGCTTAGCTCATGTGTCTTCCAAAGAATTCCAGATCTTACAACCTACTAACTTCATAATTAAGTAGACTTTAAGGCTCAAAGCTCCTGTGGAAATCATCTCGTGTTATCTGGTAACCTGTATTGATCCATGTGCCAGCATTTACAGATGGACTCAGCACGTGCAGTCCTGTTGCTATTAGGGGTTTGTGACTGCATAATGAACCGTGGCTAACCACTGAAAAAGAAGCAAATAAAGTCACAGATCAGGCTCCTGCATGCTGGGGGGGAAAAAAAGGGCGCAAAAAAGCAAAGCCCCATGTTGCTTCTCTGAGTGCACTAAATAGGAAATTAACGTGGAGAGGCAGCTGCAGGTGGCTGGTGCTGTGTCCACTCTTCTGTGACCAACCAGCTGCACATTTTCAACGTTTCTAAGGCCAAAACTACGCTGCGGCTCTTGCTCTGCTCTGCAGTCCGATGGGGAGCCAGCTGGAGAGCCCCAGAAGCTGAGCTCTGCCTCAATTTTACCAGGGGCAGGCAGGGGGCCAGGTCAGGGCTCAGAGCAAAGCACCCCAGGAAGTCGGATTCCCACCAGAGACGAGGAAGAGTAAGTGCTGCCTTTTTATATGCCTGGAGGCAGAACATTTTGGGCCTTGCTGCAGCAGCCGTGACAACGCCGAGGAGCGCCGCCAGCCCACGCCCGGGGCGGTGGGAGTGGGGGGCGGCCAAGATGTCCGATCAGCCCCGCACCGGCATCAGCACCGCCGGCCTCCCACAGCCGGCACAAGCCGCCCGCTCGGTCACATGGAGGCGCCACTTCCTCTGCCCTTGCTTTGCCCTTAAGGCCGCCGCGGTGCCGCCGGTGCCTCTCCCCGCACGGGGCGGCTGCGGGCGGGTACCGCGTCCCCGTCTGCCCCCCCCACCGCACACAGCCCGGCAGAGAGGCGGGGGGGCTGCGGCCGGAGAAGGGGCAGAGGCCGGCCGGCTGCCCGGCTAAAAACAACCCTCTCCTAATAAAGCGATGGGGCCCGGTGTCCGCGCCCTATAAATACGCTCGGTGCGGGGCCCGCGGGCTTTGGCCGGCGCGGCTCTGCAGGGGCGCGGTGCAGCGGAGCGCAGCCAGCGCAGCGGGGCCGTCGCTGCCGCCGCCGCCGCCGCCTCTGCCGCCAGGAGAGTCCCGGCCCCCGCACCCCGCCACCCCAGCGAGATGCCCCGGGTAGACGCGGACATCAAGCTGGACTTTAAAGATGTCCTGCTCAGACCTAAAAGGAGCAGCCTCAAAAGCAGATCAGAGGTGGGGGCATCCAAACCCAGCATGCTTCCCCCCTCCCCCCCCTTCTCAACGCCTAACTTCCTTAACCCGCCTTCCCTCCCTGCTTTATTTTTTATTTCCCCGGTCTAATGCAGCAGTGCCCTCCCTGATCGAGACGCCCTTTGCGTGGTGCGGGAATGCCGCTGCTCCCAGGAGGACGGGGCTGGGGTTGCGGAGCCCGCGGCGTCTCTCGCCGCGGCCCCGGCGCAGCCGGAGGTGGCGGGCGCTGCAAGCCGGTGTCGCGCCGTCCTCCCCTTCTCCTCAAGTAGAAATATAAGGGGAGCTGTGGGGGATTGTTTGCTCCCAACAGGTGCCTCTGCGGCGCTGAGCGGGGGGTGACCTCCGGTTTCGGAGGGGGCGGCCGTGAACCGGCGACGCTCCAGGACAAGGGGTGTCCGGTTACCGGCACAGCAGAAGCAAGGGATGCGCCCGGCAGGCAGTATTGCTCTCGGGGACTGAGGACGGTGCTGGTACCGAGTAACGCATGTGCTTGCTCTTATTAAAAAATAATTGCAGTAAAAACCCGCGAAGACGCTAGGGAGCGCTTCCCAGAGCGCAGGGTGCCACGGGGTGGGATCCTATCACGGAGTGCTCCCATCAAGCGGCATACTAAGGAAAACCCCATCAAACCTGGGGCGGTGGGTGCATTTCCCCCTCGCTTGGGCTTAAGGCCTGAGGGATCTGCGTGGGCAGAGCCCGAAGGTCCCCCCGCTGCTGAGGCTGCCCGGGGCTCTGTTCCTGCTAGCCTGGGGCCACTGTTAGCCAGAACAGTGCTGTAGTTATTTCTCAGCAGGGATCAGGAAAGACCCCAGGAAATCAATTCCATGAGGATCGATTGCCTCCACAAAAAAAGATGGCTGTCTCAGGATCGAAGGTGCCTTCTCGTTTACCCCAGATAACCCCAAGGTTAACAAAGGATTTACTTCGACTAAAGAAGGAATTATGTTGTGTTGGGGGATGAAAAGAGGATTAAGGTTTTCTCTAGGGGACGCGGAGTTGTGAGAGACTAAGGTAGAAAGGGAAAGGGAATCGGGGAGACTGTGATTATTAGAGGACTGTGGCCAGGGATTTTGAGGACAACAACTAAGCAAAACTTTTTTGCCGTTATGAGGTGTAAGATCAGAGAGGCTCTTTAAGTAGAAAGGTAATCTCTGGTGAGTAATTTTTAGTTTACAAAGAACGGTGTCCCAGCTGAGTAACTGACTCCTTATCGTGTGCAATTACTGCTTATAAGGCCTGTGGGTACCTTCCAGCCATTTGTTTGGGGACCTGTGGGTGTCTCCTTAAAATTCACTGTGCTGGCCTGGCAAACAGGTGGAGCTATGCTCCACCGAGTTTGTGGCACATGGCTCCTTCAAGTGCTGTGTTTTGTATATTTAGCTGTGTGCAGGCTGTGGAAAGAAAGACTGCTGGGAAGGGAAAACGATAGGAGGAACATGAGCTGATATGGCAGGGTTGTAACGGGTGGCTATGATGAACTGTTAAAACATTTCAGATGAGAAAAAGTGTGTGTCATGAGGGGGTCAGTGAAAACTGATGAAGGTTAAGAAATTGGACACCATCACTGAGGCTGTGGCAACAGGGATAAACAGTCTGTGAGAGCCAGATCCGAAATGGACAGCCCCAGTCTGCTTCAAAACAAGAATATAAATAAATAGTTCTGGCAGAGGAACAGAGGCAGCACACAACAGTGCCTGTTACCCAGCAAGCTGCTGCTTTGAAGCTTATATCAGCAAGTGTCTGCTTCTCTGCTGTGAATGCCTCATTTTGTGCAAGGATAGCTTTTTAAGGAGTAGGATTAAGTCAGCTTCTTAGAGAGGCGATCTTGTAGGTTTGCTATGTTGGTACTTATTTTTGATTCCTTGCACAGTCTTCATTTTCCATGGTTGCTTTCTCTTTTTGAAAAGGTACCAGAAAATTTGATGCTTGGATTCAAGTGTCAAAATTGGTTAAAACAATGATTGGAGTGGGAGAAGCATTATCTGTCTGTGGGGTCTTGGTACTCATGGAGCCTGCTATTCTTCTCTTTGCTGGGCTTACTTCTGCGAGCTGTCCATTACAAGTTCACTAGACAAGTGTCCTGTAGGAAGTCATTAATTTAAATTTGTCAATTCAAATAAGTCCAGGGAGCTTTAAAAGAACAGTCAAGATCCTCATACTTTTCGTCTGTTAAAGGTCTAGGTAGAAGTTATAAAATACATTTAATTATTTTCTTTCTAAAGAAACTTTTACTGTTGTTGAGCAATCACAGAGTCAGAAGTTATTTTATTGTAACGTATAGAACAGTAAGCTATGGATTAGCTGTTACCACTGAGGAAGGAGACAAAAAGACCATCAGAAGTGCTATTAGTTGTACTAAAGAAAACCTGTTAGACTTGTTAGCTTTTGCGGAAAAACCTAACCATACTAGGATTATTCAGTATGGAGAAGAAGCAGTTGTGGAGGATATACTAGAAGTCCATGAAGTGAGGAATGGAATGGAAAAGGTGAAACTGAGCAGTGGTTGTATATTGTCTCTCATAAAACAAAAAGAAGCACTAAATGTAATCATCAAGCAAAGGTCATAGTTTTTATACAATATATAACTCATCATTGGTATTTATTGCTATGGGGTATTGGAGAGGCTAAAGGTGTAAAAGACTAAAAAAATTACAAGGCATGTTCTTGCCTCATCTTGTGAGTGTCTATTTTGCTGTCTATTTTGATGTCTTTTTTTAAAACATACTCTTATTTCTTTCCTTAAACAAGTATACTTTTAAAACATACTCTCTTTAAACATACTCCTCTCTAAAGTTCCTTTGAAAAAGATGTTTTTCCTTTGCAAAACTGTAATTCAGTGCTTCTGGTACTGGTATCTGTGTGAAACTGGTTGTGAGATACTCTTTTTTTCCCCCCCTTGGTTCTAGTTAATAAATTGCATTGAAAAGGAGTAAGATAAATTAAATTTTCGTACTTATTTCATACCTACCTTCTTTGTACTATTTTCTAATATTAGCTATAGCTGAAATTCCCATATGAGTGTTATGTCATCTATGATGGCTGGAGAATTTGGCCTCTCTGATAGTAAATGGGAAGAAGAGAGAATCTCCATTAAGATATATCTTAGCTTGTTCACCAAAGTGACCCTTCCCTTATGAGCTTATATAAAACGAGAACCTGATTTACAGTGTATCACTGAGGCACCACGTTCTCTGTCTTAAACAAATCAGTAATAGATCCTGGACTATATTAATCAGAATGTAGCCTGCAATATGACAGTGCTCAAAATGTGTTGTAAATAAATAATCAGAATCCTATAATTTTTATATTGCTTTCTTTCTGGTGATGGATTTCAGTTTGGTTCAGGTCTCCAAATGTTCCTGGGTTAAAGCTGCAGTGAGGAGTATTGAAAACTGTGAAAGAGCCTTTATTTTCACTGTTACTAAAGAGACTAAAATAAAATCCTAGAGTTGTGCATTTCTTTTCCGTTTTTTTTTCCTTCCCCCCTCCTTTACATATTTTTCCTCCTTTTGCATGAGGTAGACCAGTGGGAACTGATCTAATCTGATAATACCTCTTGCAAATGTAAGGAACAAAATGCCTGATGTTATCATGACAATTTGGAGATGCTGAAGAAGAAATAACTTTGAAGGTGAAAGGGATGTAGTTGTAAAACATTAACTTAGAAACTAGCAGCGTCGTGATTTAGTAAGACAAGGTATGATTGTTCATATTGTGTGGCCAGAGTGCTGGTAACCCTGACCAAAAGTAAGAGCATGCTTTATTATATTGTCATTTACATTCAAGACTGGGACAAAGTCCTCCGTGAGAGAGGGAGTTGTAGTTCTGACTTGTGTGGAGTTAGAACTTCAACTTGGGTTTCTCAGGCAGCCAAACAAACAGCTGATTTTACTTCTGGATACAACAATCCACAGTCCTCATTGTCCTTTCTTTCCTTTCCAAACACTTCTGCCTTGTTTCTTTTTTAATTATTATTTTTATTTTGATTCTCTTTTTCATAAGAAAGAACTCTGTTTAACAGAGAAAACATTTTATATTTTCCTTCATATTTGGAAGGCAGAATTTGTAAGAAAATAAATTAAGTGATGTAATAGTGGAATGAAAGGAACAGGAGATGTGAGGAAAATCAAGAAGCTGTGTCTAAACTTGCTGTATCTGAAATTTGTGACAAAATTCCCGTTAGATTGCAATCAGTTTCTTAAAGGAATGTGTGTCTGTTCGTTGCAGGTTGACCTCACGCGCACCTTCACCTTCCGCAACTCCAAGCAGACGTACACAGGAATTCCCATTATAGTGGCAAACATGGACACTGTGG